GGCCAAACAAAGTAGTTTTGCTTTCACAACGAAACACACGGCAGGGCTAGAGTGAGTGGAGGCCGGAGGCCTAGAGTGAGCGGAGGCCGGCTTGAGTGAGTGGCAATGGGCGGGCTTGAGAACGGCGCAGCCGGCAGATTCGACGAAGGAGCGTCCGGCGGACTTGCGGCAACCACATGTGACGACCCCGGGCTGGACGACCCCATCCACGGTGAAAGCCAATCCGGCGAGAACGAGCCGTTTTAGGTAGGCGTGGTTGACTCTTAACTTTGATAAAGAATATCTCTTTGGATTTGAGACTTTAGTCTTTGCAACTTTACAGATCTTCTTTATGCACCAAGAGCTTGTAACACTCCAAAGAGAAAGTAAAAATTTAAATCGCATCATATGACCCCCTTTAAGAGATGCTACAGATATTATAGCTCCAACTATTACATTTATTGTTAATCTTTCCTTGGAAAATGGTATATTTCCATCTGATATGAAGTTAGCTAAAATTATTCCGTTCTTTAAAAAAGGTAACAGATACGATCCTGGAAACTATCGTCCAATCTCCATTCTTAATGGGGCCTCAAAATTTTTAGAAAGAATTGTGTATAAACAGATGTATGAGTATTTAAGTAAGAGTAGTTTAATTTATGATTTTCATTCAGGTTTTAGGAAATCTTATTCGACTGATACTTCTTTACTTTATTTAACAGATTTTATAAGGAGGCAGATTGATGAAGGTAAAATGTGTGGTATGGTACTTTTAGACCTCCAGAAAGCGGTTGACACTGTAAATCATTCAATACTTTTAGACCAGTTAAGTGTCATGGGTTTTTCAAGTAAAGTGATAGCCTGTTTGAATTCCTATTTAACTGGGAGAGTTCAGAGAGTAGAAATTTATGGGGTTCTTTCTGAGAAAACATTTGTTAAAAATGGTGTCCCTCGGGGAAGTGTTTTAGGCCCTCTTTTGTTTCTTTTATATATTAATGACATGCAAGCAGTTTGTGATTGTAATTTGATTTTATATGCTGATGATTCTGCTTTGTTAATTTCAGATAAGGGTGTTGGTAGGATACAAGTGCATTTAGGTAAGGAGCTTTGTAAGGTAAGAGACTGGCTCTCTGAAAACAAAATGATGTTGCATTTAGGTAAAACGGAATCCATATTATTTAATAATAATAACATATGCATTTAGCAGACACTTTTATCCAAAGCGACTTACAGTGCATTCAGGCTATACATTTTTTACCAGTATGTGTGTGTTCCCTGGGAATTGAACCCACAACCTTTTGCACAGCTAACGCAATGCTCCAACACTGAGCCACAGGAACACATTTGTTGTGTTTAATATTAAATAGAACCTCTGTTCTTGGATGTGTCCTTGACAATGATTTAAATGGTGTAAGTATGACTATGAAAGTTCTGGGTAAGGTTAATGCTAGGACTAAATTTCTTGCCAGACATGTTAGTTTTCTTGATAAACAGAGTATAAAATTACTTGCACCATGTTGAGTGTCATGTCATTTAGAATATGCATGTATTTCTTGGATGTCTGATTTGTCTCGTGGTTGGTTGGATAAAATCTCAGAATAAACTGATAAGGTTAGTGTTAGAAAACACTCTCTGTCTTGAGATGCCTTACCCCTCCTTTCCTTTTTGTCCCTCTCACTCTCCCTCCTCTCAGTATTCTTGGCTAGGAAGTCT